AATCATTATATATAGGGAAGAGTTCTAGTTATTATTTTGTCCATTAGAAGATAATCAAATGCATCTTCGTGTTCAAAATAATCGCATAAAATCAATTATCATTGATGGCACAATTTTATTATTGTTATGCATCACTACAAGCTTTTAAAACATGGTCTATATTATGAACAACTTTTTTTTTTTTGCGTGTCTTTCAGTTCATAGATATTTACTATTACATGATACCGTGTTTCCTATTAATCAAAATAACTAAATAATATATTATTAATTTCGTTTATACAGTATTAATTTATTAATATTTATTATTCGAATATAATTCTATAGCAACAGATATAGTATATAAAGTTAATAAATATCTTAATCAAGATTTTACCCATTAAATGTTCAAACACCATTACTTTCCACCACGATTGTAAATTCTATTAACTCTAGCTCTAACATAACAAATAATGTAAAATTAAATATACAATATACTTTTAATAACCTTCAAAAGCATCAAGATTTCCATTCCAATATTTTAATAATGTCATATCCTTTAACTCAGACCATTTATCACCCATTAAATTTTGAAGTAATATTTCTTTGACTACTCTAACCCCAGAGTTTAAAGATCCAACAATCCAAGCACAATGTATGTCAGTATGTTCTCCACCCCAATGAATAGATTCCTCCGGTCTCATCATAGCACCCATTAATGATTCTAATTGTGAAGGTCCATATTCAGCAAAAGGACCCCCGGCAGTTCTATCATTCGACCAATACTTAGCTATATTATTTTCTTTACCTGAGACCCATTCTTTATATACTATATCACCATGAATAGTTGCTAAATCTTTTAAAGCCAGTTCATACATTTCTTCATCACTGTATTGACCATATTTTATCGCATCATTACTCCATGTATAAGAAGCCAAGAGGACACCAGGATCATCGGCTGGTATACCTTGGTAAAATGAAGGATAAACTAAAACTCTAATAGGAAGATCTGTATATGTGATACCACCAACAATTCCAACATTAGAGGTAGTAGGATTAGCACCAGTTTCATTAGGAGATTTTTCCCAAAAACGTGATTTGAATTGGAGAAATATTTTTGCTGAAAATCCATAATCTAATTCACGGATAGCACTTCGTTTTCCATATGATAATGCTATTAAAAGAAATTATTAATTTTATGATTCACAAAATTCATTTTTTTTTTTAATAAATACAATAATTATAGTATACAACGATACTTACATAAAGGTAAATCCCAATGACGGACAATACCTAACGGAACAGTTACAATTACTCGATCAAAGACTTCAGAAGCCTTTTTTCCGTCATTTATCCAATGTACTTCAATTTTATTATTTTTGGTCTTTTCCAGCTTATAAACTTCACTATTATATGTCAAATTAATATTTTCCTTCTTGATCATTGGTAAAAAAGCATTAGGGAACCGTTGCATTCCTTTGTCAATAGTTTTAAAGTTTATCTGATAGGTAGGGTTACTAAAGGTGTGTGAATCAATTACAGCACTAACAAAACCAAATTGGTGAAATTCACCTAGAATTTTTTTTATTAATGTTTATTATTATAATTAGTTATATTAAAGTAGTAGATAATGGTTCAACCATTTTATAATTACATACCTGTGCCCACTAATTGCACTTCGAGGGCACTAATTATTTCATCATAATACGCTGCTTTTGTTGGCAATTTTTGGGGTAGAAAAACTTCTTTGAAATAACCGTAAGTGGTATATTTATCATAACGTTTTAAATTTATAAGACCATTTGTGAAATTCTTATCCAATTCGTCAAAGAAAGGTTGTACTGCTTCAGTCCAAAGATCAAGATAATTATTCGGAATATTATCAGGCAATCCAAGTTGTTCTACTCCAACACTCTCGGAGTAATTGTTGGTCATAATTTTACCAGATGGACCTTTTTTATTATTGAAATAATACAAGGCACTTCATATGGATATTTATATAGGCATTAGAATATAAAACGGGGTAATATTAGGATAAAATAAATAAATATATATATATATATAAACTCTCACTTTGGATTACTGATTATGAAAGGGATAGTTTTAATCTCTCTTTCCGGATTATCTTTCTTATTATATTCATTTATATAATCAATTGTATCAAAAACTAACTGATGTGGGGAGAGTTCTGGATGGCCATCGACATAAGGTAATCTCATTGCACCAACTTCGGCATATAACCGTTTTTCATCATCAGGGTTATCAGTAAAATAATGAGTATGGATACGTCCACCTACACGATTTTGATATTCAAGAATGGTAATATCTTCGATGCCAGCCTTTTTTAAGAGAAGGGCCGAGAATAAACCTGATAATATTGCATGAATAGGATTAATTTCATTAAATGCGTGTATGATATAACGATTTAAAAAAATAAAAAATAAAAAGAATAATATATATATACCAGTGATTCCAGCACCAACAATACATATTTCTAATAGAGCCATGTTAGTTTTGAATTAATATTATTATATTACGTGCCTAAATTATGGAACATACTTGGATTTTTGGTCGGAGTATTTCGAGGATTTACTTTTGTACTTTCGTCATTGATTCTACATAGACCGATATAATTATATAATACAGTATTTAAATTAGTATTAATAGTTCACTTTTAATGACTACGGAATTAGCTTACCTTTTATGATA